ATACAAATAATATGAAACTACAGATTAAAAGAAATAAAAACCAAAGTCAGTGCCCTGAGTGGACAATGATCACCATCTCCACACTGGGCTCTTCACTGTATTCTGCCAAGTGTACAGGTGACACAGCAGCTGAATGATGCTGCAGGACAGCTGGTCCAGGTAGACTGGTCTCTCCCACAGCTGGCTGCCTGACAACCCGTCTCCGTGAAAGAAGGACAAAGGCCCTCCTGACCCTCTTGTTTCGACTGCCCCTTTCTGATGAACATGGAGACAAGGAAGAAACAGATTTCTTGGCAGATGTCTTGGCTTGTTTTTGGTGCTTTTTTGACCTCCACACTGGACCCAAGGAAGGTAGCAGGCCCTAGTCAAACTTTTCTCGTAGGCGATTCTTTAGGAGGATTGGCACAAGGGAGAGGCAAGCTGCTAGACCCAATAGTACCTGAAAAAATTAAGAAAATATTAGGGACATGTTTTCTTTCAATAATGTACAGTGACTATACTATACTACTATACTTTTTCAGACATAATTACAAGAATTTTTTGTTGTATGACACTGAATGGGGTGTACAATATACACACAAGATAGTAATGTTTAAAAAGCATATTCAATTAGTTTACTTTTTTATTCCTTTATACACATAAAGGTAGCCATTTCAAAAATTAATTTTCACAATAACAGGCTACATCACACCATAAAATGCTTCTACATGTGGTATATCTTTTTATGTGTTAAAAAAACATACAAACTCATATCAGCAACTGTTTATTTATGGTATTGTCAAATGCAAGAATTTCACTTTTTTTTCCATTGTTTTTCTACTCAAAAAAGTGAGAATGGTGTTAGATATTTTCTCCTTTCTTTTCAAAGTCACTCTTTCTTATTTCCAAACTCCTTAAAACCTGTAATCTAATGCCAAAAGACCTACTCTTGAACCTAACCTGAATTAACTTTGAGAAATAATTAAGAACATAATTTGTCTTTGATGTGTTATCTTTCTTTCAACTTCTCAGTTACCTAGAGAAACAAAAGAACCAAAGAAGAGGAAATGTAAAAGTATAATTTATTCTGAACCGTATCCATGTTGACAAATATAGAAAAGGTATGAATGAGACTGGATATCTTCACAATACAAGAGATGTATTTGACCTGTTTCGATTACGTCTTCATCAGATATACATGTGTATTTCTGATGAAGACGTAATCAAAACCGGTCAAATACATCTCTTGTATTGTGAAGATATCCAGTCTCATTCATACCTTTTCTACAGATAATTTATTCTACAAATGACAACATTCATACATGTGTCATTGTTGTAGATATCTAAATGTGCCAGATATCAGAGGTCATATAACACTACAGAAGAGCATAGTAACAAAAATTGCACAGGGAATGGGAGATTGAGAGGGCGGATGAAAGATAAGCATGTTATTTGGTGGGTCATGATTAGATATTTTTTAATGTCCTTAGATGTTTTTGAAAATGTGTTGATTGGGGAGATTTGAGGAAAGGTCTTATGATGGGGAGAAGTGGGGATAGATATCTAAGGAGCAGAGGAAGAGGCAGGTGTAGGAGAGGATGCAGTAGGAGAAGATGGGGTGGAACATTTAGATTGTCTGTTGGGAGGGTAGAGCGAGAAGGAAGAGGGGGCAGAAGTAAGGAGTCCGAGGAAGAGATACTGGGTGTGATTGGGAAACATTTTTGGGAGAAGGGGGATGGGAAGATCATAGTCACAAGGCAAGCATGTAGGTTGTATTCACATTCTGACCAATCCTTGCTACTAATGAAGGTACAAAATCATTATCGGATGTGGTAGGCCTGGAGTATGTTGGGTAAAGAAGCAGTTTATCCCTCAGGGTTCTCATGAGGGATAGGGGATAGATAGAGGTGCTGTTCAACGGGCCTCTTCTTTATCTAGGACTTGATTTGTGTCCGAATGCCTAGCCAGATGTAGTGTTTCAACTGCAAATAGCACTGCCGTAACAGACTGCACATACCTCTCGCTTGAATAACACCTGGCATAGCACTTCTTGTTTAAGCAATATGGAGCACGAGAACTTGTTCCCTGTTTCACCATAGTTTCACATTTCAAGGCGTACATCTTTTTTTAAGAAAGAAGCACGGGAACCGATTTACTGATTCAAAATTATTAACGCTAGTCTGATAGGCCGCCAACGCGAGTGTTGATCCTCAGTTTCGAATTAGCCATTTCTTGTTGATTTCTTTTTAGTAATTAAAAACATATGTTGTGATAATCAACTCTAAACATTTCATTTAAATTTGTAATATAACTTTTGTTAACTTTATAGATACTGATACTGTCTTCAAGCAAATTACAGACAATAAGTTTTTAATTGCATCCTGCAAAGCCCGGAGATGTCCAAGAAAAAAGACGCTCTCCTTCATGTTATTGCTGGCTCCCCTCAACTGCCAAGATTTCGCACCAAAGTGACCAATTCAGTCCAGATAGCCATGCTTACGGCAAGATCTACGCATACACCAGTTAAACCGAGCCTTAACTAAATGGGAATACTGTGCCCATGGCTCCCTGAGGCCTTTGAGGACTGACCCAAAGCCAGCCTTTTATTCTTGCCACCTGGTATTCACATCTTAGGAAGTAAACAGAAGAAGGGTTTGGAGAAGAAAAGACCATGCAAAATTGGTTGAGCCAAGGGCTGGACCCAAGGTAGGGGAGATCCCTAATATCAAATCTATATTTGATCATAATTTGATCATATTCAAGACCTAATCAACTTCTGGAGCATTACAAGACAAACTCCCCCACAACAACAGGCAAGATGAAAAACTTTTACTAAATTACATGCAGTTAGTACTTCACAGAGTGTAAGTCTTCTAAACAAACTGTGTAATCCTTTTGCTGTTACTGTTGTTCTTCATCTACAATCTGTATATACATTTTCCAAATCATTTTCCTAGCTTCCAATCACAGTGGTCAAATCTATATTTGATCATAATTTGATCATATTCAAGACCTATTCAACTTCTGGAGCATTACAAGACAAACTGGAAAAGGTAGACAAATATATAGATGGTTAAATAATCTAGACAGAGACAGATGGGTGGGTAGATTGAAAACTAGATACATAATATAGTACCTAGAATATTTTATAAAGCTAGATGGATAGATTTTCTAGAAAGAAGTATGAATGAATGTGGAACTAGTTACTGACACTTCCATTTCCATTGACATATTTCTCACACAAAATCACAAAAATGAAAACATTTACCCTACTTCATACCAATTTTCTATCACAACAGATTTTGTTCAGATAAAGAGATGCATGGATGTGTGGGTTAAAAACAATATAAACAACAGTATAACTCACCACAGAAGTTAAGGAAAAGGCATCCCTGGAAGAAGTTAGTTCATATAAAGTAGTACCTGCTTGTACTGCTAGTATACTCGGTGGGGCAACACCTGCAAGAGACAAGACTGTTTAATTCTATTCTCTTTTTTTTAACTCATCGTATCTATACATATCAGCTAAATTCCTAAAACCAAAAACCTTTCAATTAAGTTTGCCAGCAGACAATGAGGGACACTGAGCACCAGCACATGCCTTTCATGAAGAGCAGGTCGTTAATCTTACCTAGAAAAGTTCCAAACCAAAACGGCATCAGAGGCACATTAATGACAGGACTGGTGATGTTGATGAACCAGTTTGGAAGGAAAGGCGTGATGCGTAGAAAGATGATGTAGAAGAGTAAATTATCCCTCTGCTTGTCAACCTGTGGATTAAAATAGGTGCTGCTGTCATTCACAAAAATACATGTATTCATAATAACAGCAAATGTAGAATAGTGAAGAAACCTGACATGCTAAGTTCTTGAAATACTACATATAAGAAAAAATAATTTTCAATAGTGATGTCCCAGATAATAAGTTTATAACTGAACATTCCATTATGAATTTAATTTTCCTCTACTAATATATGAAAATGGTAATATGGCCTAGAGTTTATATTACTTAAAATAAGAAATTACATGTTTTTTTTCACTTTTTACATTTTCACTTAACATAACTCACCTTTTCTTGCCATGACTTTGTGCGTTCTGGCATATATTTAAGGACAGCAGGTCTGCCTGCTAGGTAAGAGAGCAGGTAGCAGAAGGAAGCACCAGTAGCCGAGCAGAAGCAGATAAGCAGCAGTGCTATTTCCCACCTGAAGAGGAAACCTAAGGAAATACATGCTGCTGTTAATAAACAAGCACATAATATCTTTACTTATCTTATTTTTACAGATGTGGTACAACATCAATAAGTGTCTAAGACTTATTCTGTTGTGCCTGTGAAGGTCTGTGTAATCATGAGATAGAGCACTTCATGGTACAGTTTCAAAGTATGTTTTGTGTGCGACTGTCCCTAAAGATCAGAAATCTCATACATTGACCAAACTATTAAAGATAGCAAACAGAAATTTTCATTATAAAAATCACCAAAGAAAGTATGAAAAGAGAGAAAATTCAGCCCCGCAAGGGCTGTGTCCTGTTCCCCCTATCAGAAATAAAAACATTTCTTCAACAATACTCAATAGTTGAAAGTCACACTTTGCAAAAGACTAAAAGAACACAATAATTATAAATCTGTCCTGTAATTTACCATGTATTATATACAGTACTAAAAATATCCAAGTCACAATTAGGAATGCATTTGTACTGCATATAAAAATGTGACTGACATATTGGAAATAAATCCACAAGATTCAGTTAAAGAGAGAAAAAAAAGCAATAAATAATTTGTACTCCGTTAATTTTTTCAGGTAGTCTTGTGTCCTAAAAAACATAATACAGATAAAAATAATCTTTTCAATCACATCACATAAAACAAAATCCTGGATTATGCTCTCATAACTAGAGCTGTTATCCATAGTGTTAATCAAGTGCTACAAAAATTACGGCATCTTTACTTTTTAGCAAACAGAGCAGCAATTTATAGAAGGCATTGGTTTATATTTTCATTTATCTAATCCTATCTTATTATTTAACAAGGATTTCTGTTACTTCTGCAAACCAAAATATATATACAATTTAATATAAGTTTCCTTTTAGAGTGATAACTATTCACAATTCTGTAACTTACCTGAGAGAATGGATAAGAAGATGGAACCAGGAATGGCAAATGTTTGTAAGCTGGTATTTACATTAAGGAAGAATTTGATGAATCAAAAATATTTTAAAATATAGAAACAAACAAACAAATAAATAAATAAACAAATATATCCTCTCATTGATAGTACATCAATAGATGCCATGACATAACCATGTATTACTTGTATGTGTCATAACTCAGGGCCCAGATTCACTAACGCATTTACGATGGTAAAATCACTGGTAACTATAGTTACCATGGTAACCAGACAGCGGTGGTATTCATTAACAAGTTGCCATTGGAGTTACCATGGTAAATTTTACCATTGGTCAGAGCACTAGTAACTTCTGGGAAGATGATGTCATCACGTGTTTTCTCGTCAGAAAATCAATATCTAAGCAAAGTCTTGGGTTTGTTTTTACACCTGATGTAACTAATATGATGGCAAACAGATATCACAGTGCGTACATAGCGAAGAAATGCAAATTTCACAGGAAACTAGCAAGAATAAAATCCACACAAATTCTCGCAAGATTATAGGCCTACATTATACTAGAATGCATGGAACCGATGAATAAGTTAACTCTTAAGGAATTCTTCTCTGACAGAATTATTACAAATGCTAGAGAAAAAACTACCTTGCTGATGTATAAACTGGCAATACCAATGCTAAACGAGTATAGCAATATATGTGTCTGTCAGGATTTTGACAATAAACTGCATGGGCAAGAATAAGCTTGAATAAAAATTTTGCTTGGTCCGGTTCTTTGTCTAACAATTATGAAAAATGGGTTTGAGTCAACAATAATATATTAATATAACAGTGTTTGTACTGGTTCTTCTCTATACAGTAAATATATATCTGACATGACGGATATAATCAAATAAATATTTTTTTTCTACATATGCTTAAATAGTGTTTTAGCTCTGACGATTATTTAAACAATCTCGCTATGTCTAGTTCTGTTTACATGTTACATGATTGGCCGAAGGAACCGAAAAAATTATGTATGGCGCTCGCTGATTGGTGGAATTGCTTTACCAGAGTCCTCTGTTGGCTACCATTAGAATGAGTCGATTTACGATTGCAACTCAGCATATCCAAATTACCATTTCTTCGTGAATCCCACTTTGCCACCACTGGTAAATGCAATGGAAAATGACCGCTGGTAAATGCGTTATGATCGTATGTTAGTGAATCTGGCCCCAGGATGGCTGTATAGAGCACAACCCTGTCAGAAAGACTAAACTGTTGCATAATGATTATGTAACAGAAAATTCTGGTCCAGTCATAATAGGGCTAAAAAAAAAAAAAAAAAAAAAAAAAAAAAAAAAAAAAAAAAAAAAAAATATATATATATATATATATATATATATATATATATATATATAATATATATATTACATATACCCATATCCATACACACATATACATACATGCATGCATACATACATATATATATATATATATATATATATATATATATATATATATATATATATATATATATATATAATATATATATATATATATATTATAATATATATATATACATATTTTCATATACACATATAAATATATACATACATACATACAAATAAATATATATACATATATTTGAAATGTAACTTAAGCAATTCATTAATAAAAATTGATGATCTTAAACTTTTTCCTCTTCCTTTTTTAACTACATTTAAAAAGGATACAATATGTACGTCACAAAGACTCCAGCTAGTACTTCAAGGTAATATCTGTTCTTGTAGTGAGACAATACACGACCCAAGTTCTTGGCGTCTTCGATATCTGTTGGTAGCTTTATATATTGATACTCTTCCCTGAAACAAAGTAAATGAACAAATGTAATACCACTAAAAATGATAATAAATAACTGTACTTAATGGAATATAATTCATATTTTTCCAAACCTTAAAAATCAGTACAAGAGCAAGAGAAAACTTGTAACTTCTCGTATATAAACAAAGAAAAGAAAGAAAGAAGAAGAAGAAAAAAAAAAAACAGCCTGAGGCCAACTTACGGATCCATCTGTGGGAAGTTTGTGTATACAAATGCAAGAGCACTGAAGGACACTAAGAATATAGCAACGAGAGAGAGGAGGGCACGCTGGGTGTCCATACCCTCAGCCTTCTCCGCAGCTCCACGTTCACCTTTTGTCTGCGACATCTCTGAAACAAAGGAGGGAGCTATAACTAAAAGGGAGAGAAAACTGAAGCACTTGTATGTTTGCACAGGACAAAGATAATGATATGTAACTGAGAAAAAAGTAAGAAAAAACAAGGAGAAAGAGGAAAGTATGCAACAAATTTTCCGTCTACTGAGAAAGTATCATAGGTTGTACATTTTTTTAAATATTGTAAATAAAAGTTATAAAGATAGCCATGACCCTACATTGACAGTACCAGAATTTTCTGTGTGGCACTCATTCCAGTGACTAATGGCAACCATCTAGTTTTTCCAGCAAGTATTTTGCTGTGTACAGCTGGCCCTGTCCACTTGCTTGCTATGGTGAGTCATGGCACATGTACATGTTCTCCTCAAGAAGGGTAGGCTTTCCATGATGACTATAGCAGTGCCAATCATGAAGGGTTGGCTTTCTACAATGGCTATAGACGTGCCCTTCAGTAAAGTGTAAGTGCGTATATGTTTGACCGAAGATGAGTAAAATACAGAATAATAATATTAGAAAAAGATTTATCACTGATAATAACTCAGAAATGACAACTAACAGTAAAATTGTATATCTATACATTGCATAATAATGATACACACAATTTCTGTCAAACCTACTTAACCCACTAGCAATGGTGCATTTTCAAGCCAAAAATAATGTTTTCTGGCACTCGGGTGAGTCAGGGAACCTGCCCGCACACTTCCCAACGGGGGCCACATATGAGAGTGCATTTTTCCAGGTGTCTCATATGTGTGACACCCATAAGTGGGTTAACAATATTAGCAAACAGAAAATCACATAATAAGGCATTCTGAAATTCAAAAGAAGACAGCTTAAATTATCTTCTGTTTGTATCAAAGTCTACTTCATATTAACTGAAACTGATAATTTCAGTTTACTCTCTTTATTATAATATATATTCATCCTTTTAATAAAAAAAAGGAAATTTTAAAAGAAATTCTAAAGAAAATCTATGTAAAACCCTAGATTTTGTAAATATATTGCATTTTAACCTAATGCCAACAGGTAAAAAAATTAGATAAGTGGACATAATTATGGGACTGATGGCATACATAAGCAATTTCCCCTGTTTGCACCCAGCTTGACTGGTAGTTTGTGAGCGAAATTTGACACCTTAAAAGCTTTTATTTTTTTATGATTTATAAAAATATTATAATTTTGAAGGTTTACCTTCATTATAGGAGATATTACCTAAAATCTTTACCATATAAATGAAGCCACTACTATCAGAGAAAAACAAACTCCATCTGACGAGCCAATGGCAGTCATGATACGATGCCATCTGCTTTTTGGTCCATAACAGCCATGGTATGTACGTAATGCCACATGGCAGCTATTTGTTAAGTAATTACGTTTTTTTTTTACTAACTTGTAAACACTCTTTAAAAAAGGAGAGAAGACAAAAAGTTATACAAATATATATACACACAGATTAATAATGAGGTAAATTTCTTATTCCTTAGGGAATAAAAAATTTGGTTTTAATATACTAAACTCTTACCCAAGTAATCAATTCACATCTTGGTTAAACAAGCCTTCCCCTAACATAATAAATACAATAAACATTATCTATCATTCAAAGTAAGTTTTAATGATATACTAATTAGTGATGCAGCCATATATATTTTTCCTTGAATGACATGTTTTGGATTCTGGTCTTCCAGTCACACTTATCTATGGCATTACACTAGAAAAATAAATACCAGCATAAATGTAGGCAAACATTAAATATTTCTAAAAACAAATTTGATGAAATGCATTTGATGAATACTATCCAGTTAAAAAAGTTTTACTCTGCATATACCACACCAATAATATTAGCAGTGAACTGGGTAACATTCTCATGCTACCATGACCCTTGAGCTTCTGAGGCACCCTGACAAAGGCCTGTAAAACTCCAATAGAGTACTGCATGCCTCCCTTGCAATTTATTATCAAATACAGAACCAGTTCAATTTCTATTTTGCTAGAAAACATATAACAGAAAGCTTTCCTGCCTCTGCCACAGTACTAAAGTAGGCAGTGACCAGCACCAGATGCCACACTACTTTAATTATCAGCTCCTACGAAAATTTAATACCGCCTCTTATTTGAAGACCTACAACCTAGAAATACTCTAGATATACCCTAGGGTAGGGTATATCTGAGATATAGTTTCTTGCCAATAGGAGTTACAGAAAAGGTAAAAGTTACTAAGAGCGGCACTGCCATCTTATTGGGCATACAAAATAGAATCATACACAACCCAGTGGTTTTAAAATTGCCGCTAAATGACGAAAACATCCGCTGCAAATCACCACTCAGAGACCAAGTCCACACCGCCCTCACCCAGCCAGAGTTCTTAGTGTCACATTCTCTATAAGTTGACACGAAGTGCTAATAAACAGGGGTACAGGGGGTATGTCCCCTTGTCTTGGGAATAAATAGAAGGTATGAAAGTTTGGTTGGGTTTTTGGGTCCGCATCATACCCTGGTTTTGGGACTTTGTTTCTGGAGGAAACGTTCCTTCCTTATTTCGTGTGACGGGCTATCATTACTACAAATTCATTCAGTCAATCCAAATTACAGGTTTCTATTTTTTCCGTTAATCTTGTTATGAAGTTACACCGTCATTTCCTCTCGAGTTTCTGTAACTTGGACGTCTATTTCCTACTCAAACAGCTAAAAATACTACTTCCCTA